ACAAGAACGGGAAATTCTTATTCTAAGAATATTTAAGACCGTACTTTACTTAAAATTTTAAGAACGAAAAAGAGTAAATTTAATCCCAGTCGGACTTATTTTTAGAACTTCATTTTTCTCTGAGTGCAAGACCTTGGTAACCAAACACCACCTCGGAACCCTGGCATTTCCCGTTAGTTTTTTCCGAATTACTTCATTCGGGTCGTAGTTTTGCAACTTCGGGCCGTTCGGTGTTGCTTGCCATATTGTTCACGCTGTCATCGCCATTTTGAATACCCTGGCAAATATCTGCTAACCTTAAGATATCTCACTTGTATTCTTCCACAATAATGTGTTCTTTCTCCACTTTCTTTTGGTCATATCGAGAAAGTTGGAAAAGCAGACAGGGCATTAAAGCGCAAACAGTCAACGACGTAGCAGCATATCAAATTTACTGTTGATAGAGAGAGAAGTAACGACAACGTCCCCGCCATGCGTTGGTAAGTTTTCGGTAACCCGCGAATCCAATAAGGTAGATCGTGTCTGCGCCAACCTATGTCTACACTACGTCGTTGACTGTTTACGCTTTTAAGCTGATGCCAGATAAAACGCTTGCTTCGCTTTGACATATAAGATGAAATGTATGAAAATGCACAAAGCTTGCCACATATGTAGATCGTTTGAGTGGCAGCGCGAGGCGAAAAGATGGCCAGCTCTGGCTATTTTTTCGAAATTTATCTGGGGTTTATTCTCCCACTGTGCAGCCTGAACTTTGCTAATAATTTCTGAAAGTATACATATACAGTAATAAAACACTCGATGGATTCGCAAAAGTTAGCTAGTACTTTTACTTTATGGCCTACTAAAGTTTTCGTGTCTCGGCCTAAGTAGTTTTCAAAAAGGTGGAAAAAATTGTTAAAATAAATGTCTGAGCGAAATTGAAGGTTAAGACATGTTTAGTAAAATTTTATCGGAAATATTTTCGTAGAATATTTTCACCCATTAGCTCCCGCCTGAAAAGGTTGTTTTGACACTTACTTCAAGAAACCCCGCAAAAAACAAATTTGGAAGTTCTTTAGATTGATATATTCTAAAAAATTGTTATTCCGAAAATTTTACTAGGGGTCTTCTCAGCCATGTCACCAACGTAAAAGGCACTAAAAAATAAAATAAA